GTGAAATTCATTGTTTTGTCTTATACATTCAGGTTCGGTGGTTAAAGGTTGTCTCAAAGTTCTAACGAAGCTGTAGAAGATTTTTTTATCAGACCTTCACTTAGAGTTTTGTCGCGACCGTGTCTCATCTGAAATAATTGAAAGCGCACTGGCTGATTACTTTTTCGAGGTGTACTGTAACTTCCTTTAAAGGGTCTCACGAGTTCCAATCAGGACTTACTAATTTTAGGCACTGTTAAGCCAAAGTTGCTTTGTTAGACTGACCGTCAGGAAGGGTTTAATGTGGAATATTTCTTCCAGTTTAAATTTCATTTTGGCAATTGCAACCTGAAATCCTCTCCAAGCGAAGTCCAATACTGCCTTTGGTTTGGCTCATAATTAGACGAATTTATCAAGGGCCAAGGCCATAAGTATGACTTACAATTCTTTTGTCATTTCACTGGAACATAACTTTGACTGGAAAAAAGAACTGTAGTAAAGTGAAATGATATTTTCAGGGTCTGTTTCGGTAGAGTAACGTACGAACGTCTTTAAATGAATTCCAAGAGCTTTTTCCAAAAACCGATTTCTCAATGAGTAACATGTAAAGTGAGCTAACCTTCTGTTAAATGGAAAGTTGTGAGGAAAAAAGTCAACATCTGCAAAAAAGTGTTTCATTGTAAAGCATTAACAAAAAATCTTATTCGGTACAATGACGATAACATAACAGTTTGGATCGGATGGAAAAACTACAGGCTCGAAGTTGACTTTCTGATATACTCGCATCCTGAAATTCTTTAAAAGGACACAGAAAGCAATTGATGAAAGCAGTATTGAATGTCAAAGAATGTTTAGGGTAAGAGCTTCGAAAAATTGACCGTGAATAGAAGCAAAAGGAAGTGACTTGGCTTCGTGTTTACTGTCTAACCTGCGACACTGGATGTATCCTCACTGTCTTGGATTTCTTCAACTCTGACTTCAGCCATATGAAGGCACTTATTTCTGATACCATTCCCATTCAGTTGCACACTGACGTATCGAGCGGACACGACTGGGTCTACCATGAAATCAATCACTGCTCCAGTGGTAGCTTGACTCGAGGAGACTGATCCTATCCTTGTGTTCTGTGAGAAATCTGATGCGTTCAAACCGGCTCGTACTACAGCATCTGCCAACCTCCACCCTGCATGTGCAAATAGTGGAACAAGAAAAACTGAATTAGTCCTTCCAAATAAAACGGCTCTGAAGCAGAGATTCTTATCTGACTTGTCTCGAGAATAGCACCGCATACATTCACGTTCAGAGAAACACCTAACACGCAATATTGACATTAAGACAAAACATTAAATAATTGTGACTAAGATAATTGTGATATGAAAACATGAAAACGTATGACAGTATCATCCGGGGTGCTAACCAGCCTCCCGTCCTGCTTAAAACGTTTTTTTTATCTGAATGAAACGTACCAGTATAGAACAAATGTCATCAATCTCTCGCTGAGCGTATAAAGACACATCATTATGACTATGCAAAGGTGAAAAGATATTCAGACATACTCTCTGAAATTTGTCTGTGAAAAGAGCACCCAGAACTGTTTCCAAACAATAAGCCACACTTTTGTTTTCACAAACATAAAATTGAGAATATAGAATATGAATGTAAAATATTGGACCATCAACTCAACTCCAAAAAGAAAAATCAAGTAATAATGCGTATATGTAATGTCTTCGAGTTATGCAAGTTATATGTACAACGACGAAAGTGTGTTTTTAATAGCTCCTGTTTACTTAGAGCATAACTTTATTTTTATTCAGACAGAACACTAATGTGCAGCATGCAGTGAACACTGCAAGTGTTTTCAATTCACTGTCATGGAAAATTCCCTATTTTTAAAGTCAACCTGGCTTTGCTCCACTGACTTCGGCAAACTATTGTTCAACAATTTCCGCCCACCATTTTTGTTTTCGCCCGGTGGCAAAAGTAAGGCGCTCAGATTTGAATAGAAATTGTCATCCTGAAGGAATAGGCTATATAGGTGACACCAACCGTTGACCCTACTATTTTTTTCAGTCGATGTTATTGGCCACTCGCGACATGAAAATTCAAACATACGATGTGACAAAAGGATCGAAAGCTTTGTGAAGACAGTCTTACCACAGCAGTCTCGTCTACTGACTATAGTGATTTTCGTCAAGCAGTAGATTGCTTGGAGATCTACCATCCACCACTGCTCTCCAGCGCATCCTGTGATGTACATTTAGATTAAATTTAGAAAGACTGCCTGGTTCATTGTTTTGCGATGGTGGGATAACAAACTTTGGAAGAGCAGCAAACATTTAATTGATTATGACGAAAACACTAAAGTTTCTTTTGTCGGGTAGGTTGTAAATGACACAGCATATTACTGCACCACAAACATTCAATATTTTCCTGTTGCAATTGTGCGCACTGGATGTGGCCTCACCTTTCTGTCTCAGTAAACATGAATAAACACTGACCTATTTTAGTCAATTTTTATTATAACAAAGTCGCGGGAACGAGACAAATTACTTTGTTATAATCATGGCTTTATTATAAAAGGGGTGGAGAAATAAGTAAAAACGTAAGAATTCAAGAAATTGGGATTCTTGAAATCGATATTTTCGTAACAGACTTTAGTTAAAGCGTTTTTTTTTAATGAAAGTCGACAACTTATAGGAAAAGCTTGTTTAAAAGTCAAGGGTTCAAGCTATTATGTCGCATTTGATACGATGAGAAGTACTGTAAGTTCGTCTCTGCAGTCAAAAATCAAGCAGGTATAAATAAGTGATGGGGAACCGAGGCCTTCTTCGGAGAACTGTCTACTGAGAGTTGTAGAGATCGGCAAAATTGATAAATCACATCGGGTTCTTTGAAATACGAGAATTCCAAAAGTACACGTAAATAGATTTACTTAATGTGTGTTGAACTGTGTTGACATCTCCATCTATTGCTTTGTCCGGTGAAGTGTTGGGATCGTTGTAAAAACTCTGACTGGCTGGCTTGCCAATAAGAACTAAGGCGAGACCTGTCATAAGGAAAAGAAATGTTTCAATTTGAATGTTAGTGAGGGGGGTGGGTCAGAAACACTGGTACACGTACTTGAAGGGTCAAATTCCATGTACTCAGCAAAATGCCGGGGCGTTAGGGACATCATTATTTGCAGTAACATACGTTGCACTTTACACTTTGTACTTCATGATGAAATCAAAGAGGGTGTGCGCGCGTGCATCCATAATACTTGGCATGATAACTTGTGAATTACTTGACATGGTAACTTCACATATGGTTTGTGCATTCCTCTTGGTAGTCCAAAGAAGCCTATCGCAGTTGGGGCCGAAAGGTCGAAGGTAAAGAAAAATCTTGCAATGAAATGTTTAAAGTTTGGGGTTGAGGTATTTGTGTGGGGGGCATTTTGTTGTTAACACTTTATTCTTGTTTTATTTTAACACCTCGAAAGGCGTTTAGCGGGATTTAAACCCCCAGCACAAAAGCCTACCCCCTCCCCAAAAACAAAACAAAAAAGACTCGTGACCAGTGGAAATCTACGCGTGGAATTAAGGGGTAGAGGCTGCGGGTGTGACGTACATTTTTTGAAAAGGAAACGTGGCCTGTGGCCCGGGGGAAATATAGCCTAATTGTTGCGGTTTGCAGCTTCTTGGTCATAAGGATCGGGGTTTGAATCCAGATGGTGAGGCATGTTTTGATCTTGGGAAAGTTACTTCACCCCTGTTTGCGTCTCTCCAACCAGGAATGAATAACACCTGTGAGGGCAGGTACGGTTTTGTTTTGGCCATATGCGCCTGATATCGCAGCATCAGGCTAGCATACTCCCCAGGGAGCTGAGTTGGTTTCACGAATGTTTCTGATGTTGTGACACCAATGTGAAGGGGTAATCAGGTGGATTTGTGCTCTTTATAACCGTCCAACTTTATTATTATATTTTGGAAAACCAAATAGCACCTGCGGTCCTTCGGTATAAAAAAGGAAAAATTAACGAAGCCTTAATTCTGATCAAATAAATGTATGTCTACACACTACCAAATTTTACTTCACTCACTGTGTACACAAATCGACGTACGAGTTTAAAGAATGCTGCAGTAGGAAGGGTGTCTCTCGGGAGCAACTGAGGCCTAAATGATAACGGAATCTGACACCATGAAATAGCCATTTCCTCTTAAAAAGGTCACGATAAGAAGGATGATTTAGTTATGATGGTGGGCTGCCTTGGCTATTTCAACACTTTTTCTTCTTATCGGTTCAATTTTCAAAAATGCCAGTGCAGAAACTGATTAAGTTGTTTGCCAGTCAGTTGTGAAATTGAACAAAACGTTGAAACTGAAGCATAACAAATTTATTTCGTGAATGACACTGCACTGTTGGGTGCCATCAATGGAGGACAATCATGACCCATATTGCATATTAGGCAGTATCTGTGGTAGTTTTACACATCGTTTGCCATCTGGACATAGTTCCTTCCAGAAGAAACGAAACTGCAATCATTATGACAGGCAGCACCCATTGTTACATAGATGCATTTCAAATCCAACCGAAGACAGTGGCACCAGTGTGCGTCATTTACTTCCGGGTATCCACTCTCAAATCATATCCATACCTTTGGGGGAAAGAAGTACAATACCAACGAACATCAGCCGACTAAGCTGGCGAAATCTTGATCCCCAATATGTCATGACTGCTCTCACATATGAACAAGCCTGTGCTCCTTGTAAGAACGCTGCAAAACACCGAAAGCTTCTCAGGCATAATCCTTCGTGACTCTCTCGATGTAGAAATAACGCACGTCGCGGTCCAGGAGTTCAAGTTTATTTACGTAACAACCTTTGTACCCTGCATTGTGTACAGCTATGACCAACACGCGCTGGCACAACTACCTTTCTTCACAGGCGCCGTGTATAGCTTCACACAGTACATGTATTTCCTGGTTCATGTGTGTCTAAGGTTACATATATATGCATGCACTAGTACCTTAATGCACGTAGGTCGTCTGTAAGTATCGACTGTACAAATTTACAGCCCAAAGCTTTTCTTTGAGTTTCACTGACAGGCAGAACCCTTTGAAGATTCATATGAAATTAACCCCGAGCTGGTTGTCGTGAGTAAGCCAGCCACACAGCGCGAGAAATAAAAATGTTAACAGTTAAAAAATGATGTCTTACATCCGTTACATCAGGGTGTTGATTTTTGCGCATCACACCACAGTTTTTGTTGGATGCAAAGCAATCGGCTTAGGTTTCCCGCATACAGGCTTTGTACACTGCAAGTGGTTCCATGCTCATAATTGAGTAAAATGCCCTTACTTTGTTTCTTTAGGGCGCTTGCGTGGTGTTGCCAGACGTTCTGATGATGTCACTTGTTGATTGTTACGTTGAAGCGTGGTTTCACCTTTTTTGGCATAAATAGTGACACATGTGACGTAAAGTGTAAGGAGGCATATACCTGCCGAATTCATTTAAGCTTTTTTTTGTCACAGAAAACTGGATTATAAACCGACAATTATCATAATCGCAATTTCGTCCTTTAGAGTCCATACTCTTTGTGTCATGTTCCACTTTTCTAAATCTTCAGTTTCCAATTTTGTGAGTCTGTTCAGGTGTCAGGATTGAATGATTTAGCAGACCGTGCGTATTTGATAGGAAACTGCAGGCAGTAACATGACGTCATGCATTGAGCCGGTTTGCTAGACTTGTTCTTTATAGGAGTTTATGTTCAATTTGGTGGTCTGCTAGAGGAATCGATAATGATATACAGAAAATGAGATGGCAAACGAATGGCAATAAAAATAGCAAACCAGTACCTAGAAGGATTTCCGCTAGTCATATTTTTTGTTAACCTTGGCTCTCTGATAGATCATATTAATATGACTTTGCAGGTTAAAGAGCAAATGTTGTAATTTGAATCTTCCTCATGTTGGCGTTAGGTGAGTACCATGAAAGCAGCGACACAGCCGTCGATGTCAAACAGCACGTAAACCGACGGTACAGATATGCTATGTTTACACTGTGTTTGTTGAAGACCTCGTGAAAACACTTAGTCGATATCGGATTTCTCTTCCTGGTTTTGGAGTCTGTAAAAATAATATAAAATATGTACCGAGTACAATTAACTAAGGAATACACTGAGACTGGGACGGAAATGATGTCGGCAATTGTCGTTATGAAAAATGGGAGAGGAATTTAATGATCGAAAGTGCAACAGCTGGGAAGTGCAAGGGGATTATACATCTTTTTTGTTGCAAAATGACATATCGTTCACATGTTGCTTTCTAAATCTTCGTTTCCCTGTATGATGATGTTTGGATTTGAATCATCTGAACATGCCATTAAAATTTGTAAATACCAATGGGCCACTGTTACTTAGTTCCTTCTACGTTGTGTTGAAACCATAATGTCGAATTGAACCATCATAGCCTGTTTGTCTGCATTTCTTGAGAACAAGGTCCTGGCCGTTTCAGTAGCTCACTCGCTTCATATTTGATACCACATGGCATATCACAGAATATTTTATGGATATATAAAATCTATTGTGCATGTATTTCAAATTCATTCCTATTAAGCTGTTTTCCAGAAGTGACGTTTAAATTAATCGTGTCAACGATAAATAGAAGTTTGTAAACGGAACCGTCTCACTTATAACTGTGGGAATTCGTTGATACAGATTGTATGCACACAGGGCATTAAAATTACGTATTTGAATTGACCTTGTGCTCCAACTCTCTCAGTGAAGAAAGGGCTTTTGATGAGGGATGGTTCACTTGGACGGAAATTTTCTCAGAAAATGAATGCTCTAATGAAAACTTTCTTGTGTAGTTTTCCTCTTGTTTGGCGAAAGCAGTGGCTTGAATTAAAAAAAAAACCTTATAAATTTTATCAGCGGTTACATCGAGAGGTTGGGTTCGAGAGTGTGACGTATGCAGGTGCTACCATGTGACTATGCGAGGGCGCTGTTTAAGAGAATCCACCACAGATATATAATCGCATAGACCGCTTGTCTTGCGCATGAAACTGTGATTTTGAAAAGTATGGGTAAACAATGAGCGTAAAGACGGATGGCAGCGCGTCCATTGCGTATTACGAGCAACGCACTTACATTGTCTGTATTTGTGTATATGTGCTTCCAAATAATTCTTTTCATCTTTTTTGCTCTTCGGTACTGCTATCTAGTCTTTTCGAATGTTGCAACTACATTGTTTTGAATCCCTATGGGCCAGATTAAGTAATGAGAGGTTTTTTTTTACAATCGAAAAATGGCTTCATAGAAGTTAATGGCTGAAATTCTTCAACTTTGCGTAAAGTCCCTATACCGAGGGTTGAATTTGCCCATGGTTTTGATTTTAGCCTGGCGCCGCGCAGATCACGAAAACCCCTTGAAGTTTTGAATAGGACGTGGCGGTCTATGCATTTATACGTCTGTGGAATCCACCCAGTGGAAATAGTGCCTCCTATATGTGCTCTAGCTCAAGGAATGAGCCTCCTCATGGACCTTAAGCTTTTACCAAGAAACTTAGAGTTATGCACGCATCTACGCATATTGCCGTGGCAGTAAAAAGCGCGAGCAGTCCATTAAACCTGTACTGGCAATCAACTTTGTGGTAATTTCCTCTCAGAATTCTCAGAGTGCTTTGCACTCTCGTATCCAGGGAACCCTCAAATATCGTCAAATCGCATACGTAAATATGAAATTATTAGTTGAAGGGTTTATTTGGTCCACTCATGGCCTGCTCTGTGATTGTGAATGGGGTTAGGCGGATTTAAAATGTCAAAGCAGCGGCTGAAATGGACCCCAGTGGAGGCAATGTGCAATGATGCTCAAAGATGCATCTACTAGACGCTTGCGTTATCTCTCCAGGCGAAATTTGGGCTTGGTGTTAGATCTCTGAATAAACTCACCTGCCACAAAACCCCAGCCCGATGGGAATGCAGGGAATGAAGTCCTATAGGATGAGACGTAAATACAGCGATCATTTTCTTGACAGCTAAAATGTAGAATGCAGCACTTCTGCTGGTCTTAAGAGCGCTATCATGTAACATCTCAAATAATGAATTAGGAAAATGTTTGCGTTGTGGTAACTGAGAGCTCTATGTACCTTTTCATATGGAAAACGGCGAATATGCATCGTGAGTATCACCTATTGTGATGTAAACACTAGATCGGGTATCGGGGATTGGCTATGGTATTAATGAACAAAATCATTTTTTTAAAAATCCTAAATGAAATAAGAATTTACTAGAACAATTAATGCAAGTCTTTAAAAAGTTATGAAGACACAGACTCAAAACATTCTCCAGAGCTCACACCGTTTTATTATATTTTAATACCTAAGATAGCTGCGATTTTTATAATATTGATTATAGATACAGGAAAACGCCATTACAATTTGAATCTACTTCCAGTTATTTAACTGGAATTCAACATGAAGCATGCTGTTATAGCTTGGGACTTGTTTTGAACAACAGATTATCCCCCCAAAATCTTCCAATCATGTTTGAAGTTGGACTCCCGACTTTGAAAGACGCGTTGTAACCGCCTTATTGTGCGAAAATCTTGGGCGACTTTTGACACTTTAAGGTAAAATTTTCACTCACCATTTAAAAGAAATACTACACGAAAGAGATTTGTAAAGGTAACAAAACAGCAAGGAATAAATCACTATAGACTCTAAAATCGTGCTATCAATTTGACACCTACAATTCCATTCAGACAAATAAAAATCTCTTGTTGGTTTGATTTAAATACCATGTGATTAAACTGTCTTCCTTAATTAGCTAAAGGTGAATTAAATCAGATCTAATCTGAGTATAATGATATCATTCGCAGCATTTAACTATTTCATGTACCTAATTACCGTTTACAATTTTCTGAGTGCCCTCTTTAGCAATAAAGCTCAATCTGACAGGGCTTTTTTCTCTGACGCTCTGAGTAAAATTAAAATATGTATAAATGGCGAAGAAAATGTCAAGCTACAGCAGATGAGTAAGAGGACACGCAGAGGCCAACTCTCTTCGGCTGCAACGATGAAGTTGCTGTTAAAGTTGTCAGTCACATGTCGACCGTTTTAGTCATTCACTGTTTCGCAAGCAGCTTTGGTCTTTAGTTCACTGCAGCAACTGTATTTAGCAAATAAACACTTTTCTAAACTGCCAAGAGATGTAATATGTAAATACGATAAATTCGTACAAGTGTTAAGATTATTGATAGTGTTAGGCATTTAACGTTGACTTTTTGTTTTGGGGACAATGTTTAACTTTTGAACACGATGACAAAGTTATCGATTGGGTTTAATTGCCCAGTACACTTTTTAGAATGTTGTGTAAGTGTTTTTGATGCCTTTTACGTTTATCAAAGTTAAGACTTGCCCCAAGAGAAACATGACATCTGCACAGCGTGAAAATAGCAGAAACTGTTTCAATATACAATTTGACTATCGTTGAAAAATGCCAAATCGAAACAAACATAGGCCTACGGCTACCCCGACCAACATGACTAATATAAAAATAAATGAAAATTTTACTTTTAGATTGGTAGAAACATTTTCAAGTACATGTATATACATCAGTTGCATGTAAGGAGTATAATGTGTTCTAAATTAACATAAGCTTTCAACATCAATATAAAATTCTTAAATATGAAGCAAATAAAAAAAAAAACAACTTTAAATCTTGAGTTGATTGGATCATCCGACCCCGTAAGTTTGATTCTAATCGTTTTAATCTTTAGCTTGATTAATTAGAAGAAATAACGTACGGTCTCATTGCTTGCTCGTTTTTTTTCTATCGTAAATGAGTAACAACATGCTCCGGGTACACTAATTGATGATAAAACTGTTTATGCGTCATTTATATTCCATATCTAAGTAGATTAGAAACATTGTGATTTGAGGGAAACACATTTATATATGCAATATCAGAATATAAGGAATAACATTTTCGTAGGGGAGGGGAATTGTTCTTTGGGAAAGGCAAAATTTGATCAATTTTGTATGTATCGTGTTGAAGCCTCTCTGGTACCGGTTTTTAGGGCTTTTTGGATGGAAGTCAAAACAAACTACACCAGAAAATGCGCCCGTCTTTCATTTTTCAGCAAGACCTTTTTTTGGGGGGGGGGGCTTTAATCGTGGTTGGCCCCCCCAGATCCGCCCTCGACAGAATTTAAAAGAACATTTTGACGTATGTTAGAAGAAGGGAAAAAGGTGGTTTCTCTATGTTTGGCCACCAAACAAAATTATTAGGCATGTAGTCAAATTTCTTTTTATTTTAGCCTATATACAGCATATCTCAACATCGTGTGCTGAGCTTCGTTAAGGAAACATGACTGCAAACATTGTTTTTACATCGGTTTTAGAAAGAACGTGGTATTTGTTGCTAATTCAAAGTCAATGTCAACTCAGTCTGGACAATTTGACTGTAAAAACGGTAACAACTTCAATGGGAATGACTTCGACTCTGACAAAGTGAAATTTGCGGAATGGTGGATTTCACTCCAATCTTAAATTGACTGCGGTCATGTTTACCATGGAAGGCCTTTGTCATGGAATTTATTAATCAAATAAACCACACGAGTACTATGATATATTGCCTTGTGTAGTATGCATAGTAGCTGCTTTTTGGGTTTAACTTGGTCTAGTACGTTATCATGAAATGAGCTGTGTCAGTGGGCGCACTACCTTATATTGATTGTCTTTATTTATTTATTTATTTCTGATCATCCAAGAGCACATTTAGTGCCAGTTACAGGACGATAAAGAGTGAAGAAGACGAGAAAAATGTTCAGTTTTAGAGATGGGAGGGAAACCCCGGATAAATGTTTCTTGGGAAACCCATGGACTCCGGTAGGGACTGAAAACCCATTCCACATGTGGACTGAGCTGGATTCGAATCCAGGCCCCCAGAGGTGGAACACTGCGCCAACCTAACTCCATGATACTATATTGAAGACAATGCTTCTTCTAAAAGATACGTTAACAGCTGCGTTAACAAGTCAAGTTTGTAAAATAAAACGATTAAAAATACTAGGGTCTCTGTGATAGATTCATTGATGGAGTACCCTGAAAAGAATTTCTTTCAGCTATTGAAGATGCAGCTCGGAATGGTTTAACGATAACACTGCGGCGGACCATTTTTCCGTCCTTTACGGTGCGTAGTTCTCATAGATGGTGGCCGAGTTCAGGTGAGCTTGGAACACATCGTAGCACATTGCATAGTGATGCTGTGAAATTAATTAAATATGCATCAGTCACTGAAGCCACTCCCAAAATACCGTACTGATGACGTTTAAATTGTGAGAACAAAGTAAAACATAGATCAAAGTCCGGCGTTTTGAGGAAGACACAAGTTGCAGTGAATAATATCCCGTGTTGTTTATTTGGCTATTTTACGCACTGCAAATCACTTTGTCCAATTAACCTGCTTGGACAGTATATAGCACTTGAAGGCTTTAGTGTACATGTACATGTTACCTCAGAGTACATCATGCTGTTGTTGGCCATGCGCAGACGGTGCGCTGCTTGGAACACATCTACAGCCTTCTCGAACTTGAACTGATCCAGCATCGCCATCAGGGCGCAGTACACAGATGTGGCGCCATATCCATCGCTTGAGAAAAAGGTTGATGAGAGTAACAGTCAGTGTATAGATTCTATTCAGTTCAAGCTCAATCCTCGTCAAAAGAACCATCAACGTGATTGTGTGTGTGTCTGTTGCGTCATATGTTGCCGAAAAAGTCAGATGTGTATCCATCTGTTGAATTCAAACTCTGCATGAACTTGCTTAGTGGGAAACTCTGTCATTAGTTTAAATATAGAAAATAGGCTAATAAAAGGAAATTTATTTAAACGAAAAAGATTATCGTATGGTCAACCGTTCTTCGTCACGATCGAGTTACATCGTATTTGTTGATTACACGCGAAACAAAAAGGTAAGACAACCTTCGACGCATTTTCGTCAAATCCTATTTCTTAATTTCGAAGGATTTTAGACACAGTCAATGGGCCTCGAGCTGGACCAAGAGAGGGCGCTATTATCTTAGCAACGGCGGCATCTTTGATAGGAATTTAACCTCGCTGGTTCATGGACGATTAGGAAATGCGCGCGGCACAGTCGTATCACTTCGAACAACTTGAACACATCCGACCAACGCGGCTCTTTTCAACCGATGAGGGGGTGCTTCTGCTCAAGGCGGTTACGTTTCTGTCGTGAATACATGACCAAGACGCAATCTCTTTGACGGTGACATTTTAGTCTCTATCAGTGAACGCAACCCTTTCTTTCTGGGCCTTTACTTACTTGCAATGAACTACGATGGGTTTCATATCTTCATGACAACCTTGAGTTAGTTCCAAGAGGGTCAGCATTCCATCGAAGGAGCTTGGTACTGCCATGTCAGACGGCCAGTCGTGATACTGGAACTGTGTGACGACCCACGAGTCTTCAGACTGCAAACAAACGCACTTGATTGAATTCTGTTGAACTCTTTCATGTATATTTAATTTAAAATCAACAATTTCCTAATGTATTTTCCTAATTGCACCAACAACAGCGTTTGTGATTTATGTAAATTCGAATGCTAACCTACCAATATTTCAGAGAACATATGTGCTCATTAATTTATCGATAGCCTAGCTAACAGCGATGTTAACTTTCAACAACAAAAAGGATTTATTTGTGTGGTGTCCTTCCGTTAAGCTTCTCGTGCCAGGAATTAAGAAAATAAAAAAAGAAGTTAAATTAAGCTTTCTTGGAACTGTGACAAACCAATGCCGAGCTGCCTCTCCAAAATATGGCCCACATGCACGTGTTGTCATAGTCTTGCCCCAAGACTGGTTTTACTGTTTTAGACGGTGCACCGTGCAGGCGAGATGCCCTGGGGAGCACAGTCGAATAGCTGTACCAGTGGAGGGCGCTATATTCACACGAGATGAACTGCCAGAAAACCAGTCTTGTAAAATCCTGCAGGCTTTCCCGCGTACAAGTTACAGTTAATTGTGCATGCGCACTGCCCACAACCGCGCACCATGTAGACTGCAACTTCTCTGTGAATGTCTAAACGTCAGTAGCAATCCTTTACAAGAGCTTTTTTATCAGTCCTGTTTCTACTAGAGCACTCCAAAAGGTGCATTCTCTTAGGACACAAAAAATTGGCATTACGGAGTAATCATTACATATACCTCGAGATCGGAATCCTTCATCTTGAGAGTGAATGCGCGTCCCGTTACACCTTTATACTCTGTTGTTTCATTCAGCTCAATGACAAGAGGTCCAAAGTCAATTTGTCCTTCTTGTGGCCAGTAGCAAGACATTGTCTGATGGGAGATAAAACGCCCCCATGTAATTTTGTTTCAAAAATATACAGCATATCAGCTTCAGGAATATTGTTAACGATGATAATTAGCCTGTGTGCCTGACGTTGAAGTTATAATTTGAGGCTGTATATGTGACATAAAAATATAACTCTCGATGATTTTTATGTTGATTTAAAATGTTGATTGAGACAGGTTCTGTGCAGCAAGTTAATAGCAATGACAACCATTTTGTGGTTGATGACACACCTACCACTGCAGATGTAGACTTACTTTGTCTTCGGGAACCAGGGTGTTCAGCATGACTATGGTGGTCGCTTTGTGGTCGTAAACCATGCGCCAGAAGTCGGCCACCGTGTTGGGCATTGGCATCTGTGTCCCGATGTACCTGTTCTTCTTGCAGTAGCCCTTATTCAAAACAGACACATAGGCCTAGTCATATCCGATCTTGAGAATGAGTTGGTGGATTCCAACAATATCATCTATTCAAAATGTATAAAAGTGATATTAATATCGAACTTTCATTATAGGCCCTAAGAAAATGTTGACATATAAATAATGATGGTATTAAAATGAAATTCAGTTATATTAACGGAATAAATTATTCCAACAACACTTAAAAACTTGTGATTGTTTGTGGCAACAAGGCATTGTCACGTTTCATTTTGCTGTTGCTACTAAATCCGACAACTTTTCAGTAGTACTTTGTTGTTGTAGTGCCAACAATGGATGAAGCTAATAAGGAGGGCCGATTTTGGTGATTTTGGTCCGTTAGATATCCGATACTGTTCACCATGATTTCCTCCTGTACAACGAACACTCTCCGTAATTTACTCGTGAGGACCACTCTATTTAAGTTCACTACCAATGAAATTATCGATTTAGCACGTAGAAGCATATTGTACTTACAGGGAGGAAATTGGCATTGATGTAATCGCTGTCGTCGTCACATAGTCTTGTCATCAAGTAGGGTCTGGCTCGATCGGCTATACATCGTCATTTTAACAACGAGAATAAGAAATATTTTAATATTCCATGTATTTTTCCTAAATTTTGCTCTGTTGCAATAATAAATGATGATTTTCTCACGATTCGCATAATTTGAGGAAAAAAAGCCAAGCTGGGTCGGGTTGGACCAAAAACCGCACTAGTAATCGGTGGTCTTGGGTTCAAGTTCCACCCGAGAAAACTTGTGAATTTATTCCTCACAAACCATCTTAAAGCATTAACACACGCTGCCAAAATGATCAAATATTTAGATGGACCTCTACCAATTAGTTTTTCCTCTTGATTGTTGGATTTCTACTTTTAAATCGATTTCTTCACAATTGTGCCATTTTCATACAGATAAGAGAAGAGACACATGCCACAAATCATAGGGCCGTCTACAACAGCTTACTTGGAACCAAGTCACGGAACCTGTTCTTGTCCACGTTCTCAGAGGTCAGTGCGGCCTTTGACCTCCTTCTGCCACCGTAAGGAGACACGCTCAGTTTACCCAATGTCTAGAAAAATCAAGAAACATGCTGCAGGTAAGTGCGCTTTTTCTGACAAGGCCTTTGTGGGTTTTGTTGTGAAAGTGATGGTTGCGGCATTTTTTTTATACCCCGTGTTTCAACACTCCATGCTTTTCGCTGTGAGATGCAAATCTTTATACACGCGAACTGCATTCTTCCTACATTGTGAACTCACATTAAACACCTGCTGACGAGTTGATGCCACCATAGGAATTTGATGTCACTATCATGATAGGCTTATACTGTATGGATGGACCCTACAACTACATGTCGTCATACCTCAAACTGTCTTGACATTCCTGTTTCCTTAGCGGGTCCTTCTACCTTCTTGAGCAAAGACAACTTCTGTCTAAAGTCATCCGCATTGTAGGTTGTATCACCAGTTAGAGATGATGCAAGGAGAGCATCGAAGATAAACTTGTATTGCTCCTACAGATAACGTCATAAGTTTTAGGTTGGTAAGAAAGCAGAAAGAACTATTGTTGACATCCAAGGAGGCTGCGACTAACAGGTGCAGGCCTATAATAATTTATTCAATTAACATTTCTTAATACATTTTGGGCACTGAACACATGTTCCCCATAAGACTCCTTTGTTCGAAAAACTGATTCTCGTATCACAATAAGACCTCTTGATACAATGACCACCACATTTTTCTACCTTTACCGAACCTTCCGATTTGTACAGTACCGACATTCGTCAGATGGGGCACTGTGCAGCTTCTCTTTAAGGTTATTGGTTGAGACAAAATGAGACCTACCGGTGTCTGCACCATCTTGATGCGTTTCTGCCTCATTTGGTAGATGAAGCCAAGAACGTCCACTTGTTCCTCCTGCGCCATTTGCTCCAACATCGCATCCAATGCGATGTAGGTCCCCGTGCGCCCAACTCCAGCGCTGAAGTGGAAGTGCAAGCAAATTATAACGCAGCTTTAAAAGATATATCTAGGAACTGGTACCGTTTTGGAAGTATATCTATAGGCATGTTAAGAAAGGGATATACATTTGTATTGTGAACAAGTTAATGTAGACGTAATTTGGTTTGTGTTGTTTGTGAGGTAATGTGTTATGAGGGCGCGATATTCCTTATATAAGGTAGTATATGTTTCTTGGTTTCTCCTATCCGGAATTCAATTCCTAAAAGCAACACATTTTATGTTGTGTTCTGCATTCGAACACTACTTCAAAGACGTTTCCTCTTTTCGTAACTACGCGCCGTTTAATACTAATAACTTTTTCCTGAAGAAACTATACCTGCAGTGTATGACGGTGCGTCCAGGGTTTTTCTCAGCGTTGACAACACGCATAAAGTTGAGCAACGGGGTTGGGTATTCTGGTGGTTTCATATCGGGCCAGGTGGTGTAGTGAAACTGACGTACGAATCTCCGATCCTTAATGCCAACCTATATTTGGCAGGTTAAGGAAGCTAATGTACTATCTTCTTCAAGTTTATATTTACAGTAAACAATCTTTTTGATAATGATGTTGGTCATGAGGAGCGTTGGTCCCCTTTACCTGATGAATGCTGAAATCACGAATGGTGTAATCCAGGAAGACTTCCTCCTTGTCAGTGGTTACAACAATGTCAGCGTAGGATGCAGTTCCAGTATCAGCCCAATACCTCATGCACTTTACCTTGAAAAACGAATTTAGCATATATTTTTGTCATGGCTGTAGGGCAAACGCATGATAACGGAATGGGTTCATCTTTTCTGAAGTTCTTTGCGAAATCAAGCAAAAAACTTTACGATGTCTGCTAAATTTGATTCAGATTTAAAAAAAACCCAACAATTTACCTTGCCGTTCTCCACCGGATTTGTCAGCATGACAATTTTATCTACATCCAACTGCCACACCATTCTCCATATGTCTCGAAGTGACGCTTTATTAGGTCCTGTAGATTCAAGTATTGATTGAGGGTAGTTTGGTATACTTCGGAATTTACTTTGCAAAACAGTGAAGATTGGCCTAACAGTTTTGAGTTTTACGTTGAAAGTGCTGCTTTGTTGATAAGGGTGAAACATTCACCTTTCATAGCAGACAGAGACACTGATTTTACCTTGGCTGGCTATGTACTTGTTCTCCTTTTTGTACCCCTACAAAATGTATGAAAAGAACACGGTTATTTCTTCGGGAAATAGGGCAAACATGCATGTATAAGACGTCAGTGCAGATTCAGATATAATTAAAACTTTTACACAATCAGAGCATGAACACAGGCGAGTTAATGCGCGAGACATGTGTTGAACACACGTATCAAGCCTTAAGTTGAAGCTTCATAGTTCTCTGCAAAAAGACATTCTATACGATAGTTCTGTCATCGTTCAATTTTGTTCCGTGCAGTCGGAAAGAGGGGTTTCGAAACGTCTTCCCCATCTTGAAAATAAAGCAATAAAAGAATGACGTTTTTGTCTCTCGGCATAATAAAATGACCGTATTGCTGTTAGGAATTCACAGCCTACTTACATCGATGTAGCAAGCATTGATGTAGTCTGAGTGAGGATCACCCTCTAAGGGTTCCAACACGATGCGGGAGTAATCATCTATCAAAATTAAGTGAAGAATGCTTTGGCAAGAGTGTACTCATCTTAGTTGAGATCCGCAAGTTTAACTGAACGCACAGGACTGTACAATCTTTCAAACATTATTGTAGTGTAATTCTTAATGGTAACAAAGCAAGGATGGAGGACAACATTGTCACATTGATAGTTTAATTTCGCTCTCTGAAAGCAAAGTTCCCATCATTAGTTAGTTCATATAGTTTGAGGTGATCTGTCTGAGAAAATTAATGTGTAACAGTCGCCTTCGTTTACTTACAAGCAACGACGTTTACATAACGATTCTTCTGTCTGTTTTCTGGTTTGGAGGCAACTGTCCATGGATGTAACTGTGAATCTGGAAGACTCTGAGAAAAAAAGATCACACATTGTCGCCCAAATGGCGTCTAATTCTACTGGAAACAAAAATTCTTCTCGGAAATGCAACATTCTCAATCATTAGTAATTGTAAGACAGCTCCAACAATTCGGCATCCCACATCCTGAATTTAAACTTGTGTTATTACAGTGCGTTTATAATATCCTTCAACAACAACCTTGGAACGGCCAAGAATGGTTCCTGTTGTCGGTTCTCAACGTCCACCATTCTGACATTTCTGACAGTGGTCGTTTGGAGGTAGTGGTTTGTTTGAAAATTGTCGAACCAATTAAAAAGGGTACAACTTTGCCCAAAAAATGCAAGAAAGAATATAATTATAATCGCTAATGCAAAAATGACCAAACTATATAACACATCCCTCTGAAATTATACCTTGTAGTCAGCCTCGAAACCCTTTTCACTTTTAGACTCTTGCGAGCGAATGTATTCCGCCAGGTCCTTGATACGAACGGGTGGAAGCGAAGTGAATGGCTTGGGTTCCACCAGGGCAGGGGTTGTTGGGGACGAGTTGGTCTGCTTTTGTCGTGGCTTGGGCGAAGGTTTAGGCTTCTTTGTGCAGGACGATTGGGGAGTCACAACCACTTTGATGACATTGATGTGGGGATGAGATGAAGATTCTTCCGGTCGCTCAAGTTCGTCTGAGGTGAGCCCTGGAAATGAATGTTTTATTACAGTTCTTCAGCTTCGGTTTTCTTATAGATAACACGAATCAAATCAAATTTTTGACGGGAAAGTCCGGCGAATTCTTATCAGAAAAAATTGCCATACCTTTAGTTTTCAGGTAAATATTTGCTGGCTGCTGTTTTCCATCAATATCTGTCAGCTTCTTAGCTTGCTGAGATCGTCTCCTGAAAATACAGGAAATCTTAGCCATTCAACAAGAAGGTTAATTGGAAGTTCTCTCTTTGAAGGCGTACCTATACATGAGGGATTTTAATTTATTGAATTTTTTTGTCTCTGCCTGAAGTTAAAGTGTAGCATTGGTCATTTGGCTACATATGTCAGTTATTTTGTAAGCCCCTGGTGGTTGGGGACTTTTCTGTGTTCGTACAATAATGAATATGTCGAATCTTCATGATGGTGAAAAGGCCAAGGCATTTTACCGTTTATAAACCACTATCGTGATGAGCAAGCCTATAGCCACTATTACGAGGACGGCTACGACAGCAGGAACTACGGCGGAAGATGGAGGCGCCGTTGTTGATGGGCTCGGAGACTGCTGTTTGTTTCTGACTGAAAGAACACAAATGTGTGAGATAGGAGAGGAAAGCCTTTTGCAGCATTGGATATTACTCAATATACTTAACGTCCTAGAAATTCTTATAAATATTTGTTTAATCATCACGTCAAATTGTTTTGGTGCTCTAAACGGCAAAGAATAACATGGTGAGATTGTTATTTAAAGCTTCTTTTGCTCGTTGCCTTCATATTTGTAATTTTTTGATTTTCGTTCGAGTGTTGAGTTTCCCTTTTTGAGATTTGTCTCACTCTTTCGTCTTTTATCGACAAACTTTATGAAAACTAATCAAAATCACGAAGAGCAACAATAAAAACACCGTGTGAATGGCTGAAACTGCAAAATAATATCGCATGACCTCATGATGGGAAATTAAAATTTACCTGTTACACTTATCGGCTGAGAATAGCTCACAAAGATCTCCTGCAAGTGCAAATGAAAAGTAGTATTTTCTCGTGATACAGTTCAGTACCATGACTTTATGAAAACTTAGTTCCACCTTCAATAAAAGGTTTGAGAGAAGTTATCCGGAATAATTGTTCCACATTTTTTTAGAACATACATTTCTAAAGGGTGTTTCTAAGCCGGCTAATCGGAAATATAGTAGGTGTGTAATATAATTATTTTAGCGACTTATCTCTTTTTTTTAATTGAAAAGACCATTTGCCACACTTACGTTTTCATTCCCTCGACTGACAGACCCAACTCGAATTTCGTAACTTGCACCTGTCTGCAGCGGTGCATTCCTGTACATTCCATAGGTTTGATTGTCTCCTACTATAAACTTCTCGCTTAAGTTTTGTTTGGATATCTCTGCTGCTATATAGTCATCAGGTGAGTCCTCGTAGTGCGTTACATTCAAAGCCTCCCTCTTAGCTTTGGATGGAGAGGTCTTCTTGATGTGAACCACGTATGAACTGTGGAGGATGTTTTCATAAGATGTGCAGCACGTCAGATTTGAGAACCATAATTTTTTTATTACACAGTTAAACATATTATAAAATATGTACAATCTCTGCAGTAAAGTCTTTAAATGAAAAAAATCTGACTTTTGATTGAAAAAGTTGTTTTGATGTGTATCAGTTCTCACGTTTGTTACAGGTGTGAATTAGAAAAGTCTCATTTTCATGTGCATGAGAATGTTATCAAGATCGTTGAGTTGAACTTTGTCTCTTTTGTACCAACTTAAAATGAATGTTACACAAACTGAAGGGCAAACAGGAAAATCATTTCTACTTGATTTAGTTTATCTGATACGCGTTTACAATCAATCACAGTGTGTTCATATAATTAAACAAGTCAGACTCATGCTTACACCAGTCTTTCCATTTCTGCTCATAGCACGCTGAGGTGGAACAAGTTCATTCTTACCTGACATCCGTATCGTGAGAGACAAGTGTCGCAAGACCAATGGTTACAGTAGTATCCGTGTTTTCGTTTGGATACGTTTCGGGTGGTGTCGGAGGAGGCAAGTCTACAGGGAGAAAGAAACTGACTTCATAGAATAAAGTGCTATCGATCTTTTTGATGCTGATAATTGGCTTTTTCAAACTAAAACAAAATGAGAACACTTTACAGCATCGTTGNTACCTGTCACCGGCTTAGTATACACCTCCAAGACTTGGTCGTAAGTTCCGTTGAACATTTTATTCCTCGCTGAGACCCTGAACTCGTATTTCGTGCCCGGATTGAGTTTGTCTTGAAGGAAGCTTAAATTCTGAGCTTCATTTCTGTGATATGTGTCTTCTGCCGTTAGTTCCGGTTGAGAATGCCTCTCCAAGAACCGATACGCCACCTGCCAGAAGAAAGTTTGGAGATGTGGATTAAAAAATTATGTTACTATCTGACTGAGTAAGGTGAAAAACCGTTAAAGATGACGGCATGTTCAATGTGTTCATTAGATATCTCATGTTACGTGCGAAGCTCATCATCAGACTTTACTTTTCGCCAGCATTTTGATGATTTGTTCTTCACACTAATTTCACCTGGGATTTGTATATTCACACCAGTACGTATTATGGAGCAGTGCTTCTAATGTGTAAATATCTCAAGAATACGCACTATGTAAGCAGTGATGATTCCCCCAGGTTTAAGGGGTGGCTTCCACGACAAGGAGACCGACGTTTCTGTTCTCTCTGTATAAGTGAGGTTTCGTATTGGTCCAGGAACTGTAATAAGAAAAAAACAAGCTGTCTGGTTGAAGACACAGTTAAATATGGCGGCCAGGAGATTGAAAATAGTCCTTGTGGATAAAAGAAATGCTAAAGTACTGATCACATTTTGTTTTCACCTCCAATTGCTGTCGTTGCATTGATAGCCTCACTCCAAGGGCCAGCACCAGCTGATGTCGTGGCTTGCACCTGCAAGAGAAATTTTTAATCAATTTTAAAATTTCTCGATTTCAGTCTTTACTCATGATTCATTTCCTATGGCTGTGTTGTGACAGCGTATCTGTGAAGAATCTGTTTTGCATAAATGACTGAAAATGAATAAAGTTTTAATTTCATTATCCGTAATACGCCACGACCTAATTTGTAATTTTTTCACTAGCCGTTGGGTTAATTCAGGAAGACGAATTCGATAGTTCTGTGAAAATCAGTCGCAAGTAGTCTGAATTAAAAAAATAAACCAACCTGAAGTAGGTATGTTGCACTCGCTTCGAGATCTGTTACACGATGTGTCAGTTCAGTCAAGTTAACGTCGGTCTTCGTGTTATTGTTTTCTTCAATCCGCCAGTAGCGAACATTATAGTGCGTGATAACTCCATTTGGAGGGTCTGGTTCCAACCACTCAACATTAACAGACACGTTGTCTACTGACTGGATATGAACGTTTAAGGGAACTGTTGGCTCTATAGAAATACAAGGGCAAAATTCCTTAGACTAAAGATTGAAGAAATGTGACATTAGACATTTTTCTAAGCTAAAAATCACAATATCAAGTAAAAATGACAGGTTGGATGAAAGTATACGAGCAAGTTCGAGCAAAATATAACATACCTGCTTGTTCTGTTCTTGTATTTACTGCATCGCTGTATGGGCCTGTCCCAGCAGCGTTGGTTGCGGCAACCTGGAAACTGTATGAAGTGAATGGAAGGAGTTGATGGAATGCAACTTCTCCCCTAGTCACATTACCAGTGATACTTGATCTAGAATTCAGGTCAGTGAGCATATATTCGTATCCTGTGGAGACACCGCCTCTGTTTCCACACAGCAGAGGTCTCCAAGTGAAAGTCAGGTTTCGTTGGCCAACGGATAAAGCTTCAATCACAGTTGGTGATGCCGTCGGTACTGTAATGTAAAAGAATGCTTAAAAAATTGCATTTAATGGAGATAAAGTGCGGTAAAGCAAGTGTATATATGACAGGTAATTTAGGAAGAACATTGCTTTTAGAGGTCACAGATAAAGTCTTTGAACACACCCTCATGGTTGGTTTCAGTGCATGTAGCCATTGCTTGGAATGCATAAAGGTTTATCCATTACGAACACTGGGCGAGGTTTGCCCTCGTCCACTCGTTTTCTATTTTTCCTACGAATGACGCTATCTACATTCAGACTTCGAATCTTGGCATGAACAGCAAAAACCCTTTTTAGCTTGTTATAGTTGAGCTCTGAAGACAAATGACACTGGTTCGCTTTGGATACTTCCATATTTATTTGAACAAATAAAATCAGAGAAAACATGTTTTTCTAAGAGGTGGTCTTTAATTTTAAAGAATTCAATTACATAAATCAAAGCTTAATTTTGTTGACATACCGACTGTGCCTGTAATGGTCTGTCCTTGTGTTTCTGGTCCATAAGCGCCATTGACAAAGACTTTGACTTTGACAGTGTACCGAGAATATGACAGCAGGTCATTGATTGTCGTCTCGCTTCCCTGACAGATGCAGTGCTGGATGTACGTTGGTGAGTTGATCGGTTCGCAATCATCTCTATTTGTCAGTGCATATTCCACGACGTAATTTTGCGCACAGGTGACCGGGGACCAACCGACCTTTACACTCGTGGAACCAACAGCTGTTAGCGTCACCGCTGAATGAAACAAATGACGACAAACTGAACTTCTTCGTTTCTTAAGACGTCTTGACGAAAAAGACATTGCATGAAAAACGCGGTGCTCTGTGGATACGCAATTGCATGCAAACCGACGCACATGGGGCGTCGCTAGTGACAATGAAAACCTTTGGCAGACTGCATTAATTTGTTTTGTCATTTGGTTTGACTTGCTTTAGATAGACCAGTTCAAGGATAAATTCAAATGCATGGTGGCCAGGGTAGGCAACAAGCGTTTGCGGTCATTCAGAATGCACAGAGGCGCAAATTTCAACGTAATCATGTTTCTCTGAGATTCTTGTGGTTTTTGTTTGTCTTCAGGAAACTCTCTAGTACTGTTATAGCAACAACTGTCTGGTCTGAGAAGGTTTTATAATGCAAGAAATAAAAAATCAAAAATTTGCTTTCGGCCCGAAAGAAGGAGGTCAAAAGAACTTACAAAGTTTTCTGAGTNCACCTGTCACCGGCTTAGTATACACATCCAAGACTTGGTCGTAAGTTCCGTTGAACATTTCATTCCTCGCTGAGACCCTGAACTCATATTTCGTGCCAGGAATGAGTTTGTCTTGAAGGAAGCTTGAATTCTGAGCTTCATTTCTGTGATATGTGTCTTCTGCCGTTAGTTCCGGTTGAGAATGCCTCTCCAAGAACCGGTACGCCACCTGCCATAAGAAGGTTTGGAGATGTGGATTAAGAAATTGTGTTACTATCTGATTAAGTAAGGTGAACAACCCTCAAAGATGACGGTGTGTACAATGTGTCCATTTGACATCTGATATTACATGCGAAGCTCATCATCAGACATTTACTTTTCACCAGCATTTTGACGATTTGTTCTTCACACTATTTCACCTGGGATTTGTATATTCACACCGGTACGTATTATGGAGCATTAATTGGTAGTTCCCGTGAGCAGTGCTTCTTATATGTACATGTTAATATCTTAAGAATACGCACTATGTAAGCAGTGATGATTCCTCCAGGCTTAAGGGGTGGCTTCCACGACAAGGAGACCGACGTTTCTGTTCTCTCCGTATAAGTGAGGTTTCGTATTGGTCCAGGAACTGTAATAAGAAAAAACAAGCTGTCTAGTTGAAGACACAGTTCAACGGAATACGGTGGACAGGAGATTCAAAAATTGTCCTTGTGGATAAAACAAATGCAAAATTTCTGATCACATTTTGTTTTCACCTCCGATTGCTGTCGTTGCGTTGATAGCCTCACTCCAAGGGCCAGCACCAGCTGATGTCGTGGCTTGCACCTGCAAGAGTAATATTTAATCAATTTTAAATTTCTCGATTCTAATCTTTATTCAGGATTCATTTCCTATGGCTGTGTTGTGACTCAGCGTAAACGTGAAGAAAGCTTCTGTTTTGCATAATTGACTGAAAAGAATAAAGTTTTAATTTCATAATCCATCATACGTCATGACGTAATTTGTAAATTTTCACTAGCCTTTGAGCTAATTCAGGAAGACGAAATTGGTAGCTCTAGGAAAGTCAGTCGCAAGTAGTCTGAATTAAAAAAAAACAACCTGAAATTGGTATGTTGCACTCGCTTGGAGATCTGTTACTCGATGTGTCAGTTCCGTCACGTTAACGTCACTCTTTACGTTGTCGCTTTCTTCAATCCTCCAATAGCGAACATTATAGTGTGTGATAACTCCATTTGGAGGGTCAGGCTCCGACCATTCAAGAATGACTGAGATGTTGTCCACTGACTGGATTTGAACGTTTAAGGGAACTGTTGGCTCTATAGAAGTTAACCAATAAAGGCATAATTCATTAGTAAAGACTGAAGAGATGGGACCTTTCAGACAGTTTCTAAGCTAAAAATCACAATGTCGAGTAAAATGACGGGTTGGGTGTAAATAGACGAACAAGATTGAGCAGAAAATAGCGTACCTGCTTGCTCTGTTCTTGTGTTTACTGCATCGCTGTATGGGCCTGTCTCAGCAGCGTTGGTTGCGGCAACCTGGAAACTGTATGAAGTGAATGGAATGAGTTGATCGAATACGACTTCTTCCCCAGTCACAGTACCAGTGATGTTTGTTCTAGAATTCAGGTTAATTAGCATGTATTTGTATCCTGTGATGACACCGCCTCGGTTTCTACACAGTAGTGGGTTCCAAGTGAATGTCAGGTTTCGTTGACCAACGGATGAAACTTCAACCGTAGTTGGCTGTGCTCTCGGTGCTGCGATGTAAAACAGTGTCAAAAAGAGATTGCATCAAATAAAGATAAAGTGAAAGCACCTGTAATTACTGGAAATTAATACAGCTCGCTTGAAGAGGTCAAGCCTCTAAGCTCCTCCAATTATGGTTAAATGTTTGTAACACCCATTGAGCTGGTTGGCAGGAGACCTTTATGTACTTATGAAGCCACTTTCTCTTTACATGTGAACTTTCCTACGGAGCCAGTGAGAGTCCACGGTCCACTGAACACCATGGGAAAGCACACACGTAGTCAAAGTGTGGTGTCATCAGTCCAGAGGTCTATACATCACTGTTAAGGTCCTTAAAGAAATTGCAAGAGACTATGGTCATCTGCTGGAAAGTTCACTTAAAAGGACTCAAATTGTAGCTGCGGTGAAGTTTTCTGCAACTTAATACTTTTCCTCAGCGCTCGAAAACTACTTTATATAGCCAAATGAAATGTGTTGAAAAGTAAATTTTTAAAAAACGTTTCAAATTGTAAATGCTTGATGCTTTCCAATACAATTGAGTAAGCTTTTATGTGCAAAACCTTTCGTTCATATTTTGAACCCAGACTTGGCTCAATGAAAACACTTCTAAAAAAGGGTTGACTGTTGCCAGTTGGTTGGTTTAATACCAATAATGAATCACATAAGAAAAGATTATTTAGTCCCGCAAAATCTTTGAACATGCGGGAGTTTTTCGCGTACTAAATAATGTGAGCTTTTTTACCTGGATGACATTTTTGCTGATGAATATGGAAATACTCATTAGCACAAAATCCCAAAAGCAAAGTAAATTATCACTATGAAAATAGTGAAACGAAAATTTAAAATGACCTTAACTGGGACCAACTTTAAGGTTTTATGAAAAAAAGGTCCATTTCAGCTACCCGTAACCTTTAATTGAAGCTGAATTCTGCAGACATACCCACGGGGTCAGTAGTGATCCATTTTTGTGCTTCCGGTCCGTAAGCACCATTGACGGAGGCTTTGACTTTGACAATATACTGAGAATTTGACAGCAGGCCACTGATGGTTGTCTGGCTTCCTTGACACATGCAGTGCTGCCTGTACATTGGTGAGTTGATCTGTTCGCAGCCATCTTTATTTGTCAGTGCATACATCACATTGTAATGAACCGCACAGGATACTGGAGACCAGCTGACGGTAACACTCGTTGGAGTCGCAGCTGATTGTGTCACTGGGGAAACTAGCGTTGAATGAAGAAAAAAAGCAAAAGACACTTAAACCTTGTCGTTTTGGGCACCTATTGATAAGAACACGTTGTAAAATGTGAGGGTTTGTACTCACGTTTTAAATATCCAATGAAGCATTTTTACGGGAGCCGATGAAAATGAGTACTTTGAACAGAAAACACCGTTGTGTGGTTGGATCAGCGCCGCAAAACCCTACTCCTATGATATCAGCAGTAAGTAGCGCGTTTGCCATATAGTAGCACGTTTGCGTATAGAAAAAAAACCGGAACATTGGCAACAGATGTTACATTTTCTATCTGTCATAAAAAGACATGAAAATAAATTTCAACCTATCTTGAAGAACAGAAGTAGGTAGGAAAATAGTTGAAAGACGAAATTTTAGTCAGGCTTCATTTTGCTGCCTGCACGGATATACAAGTCACACAAAACCAATAAAATTTTACACTTTTGAAACCAAACCTTTCAACAATGTTTAAAAGATTACCAATAAAAGTTACTCATATACTCACCAGTACCAGCTGTGACCGGGCTTGTTTCAGTAGTGACCATTACTTCAGCCATGTGGAGGCAGTTCCCGGTTAGTTCCACACTAACATACTGAGCGGCGACAGAAGGGTTCGTCCCGAAACCAATCTCTAATACGTTGACAGCTTGATAATTAGTAACTGCAGATCCTATCTGTGTGTTTTGTGTATGATCTGAATTCAAACCAGCTCGTACTACCGCACCTTGCAATCGTCTCCCTGTATTGTAAAATATGCAAAAGAGAATTACAAATTGTACGGTAATCCCACATTGTAATGGAAAGGGGCGGGCTCCAATGAAAAACAGCACTGGGGTTGACCTTTTAACTAATACATTCATGGTTATGCAAAATGGCCTTGGCGGCAAGGAGCATTGAAAATGTACAGGGGTGCGCCTTTGATCATATTATCTCGGGTTTCTATCTTTGTTCAGTTTTTCTTAAGAAAATCCCATCAAATCGTTTTTACTATTAGTCTAAGCGGGATTTTCCCCGCTTAATCTCGTGCGCAAGAAAAATTAAGATTGGGAAGTCTTTTTACAGAGGACTAAAAATCCCGCTTTGGAAAACGTTTTAATGGGATTTTCTGTAGAAAAACTTAAAACAAAGCCAGAAAACCTGAGAGAAAATAATCAAAACCACACCCCTGTACATTTTCATTGGCCCTTGCCGCCAAGGCCATTTGTGCGCATGCTTGCATAATTATGAATTTATTATTGAAATTGTCGTTTTTGAAAGTGAACATGGGCTAAGTCAATGGATTACGTAAGCATGGGTGTCGCCAGAAGTTTTTTTGGGGGGGGTGGGAACCATATTTTTCAGGGGCAAAGCACTCATCAGCTATAAACCAACAAACTACTGACAGCATGTAGGGTCAATTTCCTGTGTTTTTGTTTTGTGCTTAATTATGTATATTACTGTTTGTTAAAAGTCCTTTACTTTGCCCCATTCTGATGTGTCATTTTTTTCAAGGAAGGGGCAACGCCCCCTTGTCCCATTCTCGCCACACGCATGCGCTTGAGGTATTAAGTGAAACATGTTTGCGGTGACTCATTACTCGTTTCTTCAGTTATATTTAGAAACCTACTAACCAAATGAAAACCGTTGTGAGGAATATTTTCAGTGTCATTACCTTGAAACTGAGGCATATCCCACTTATTCTAACTGCATAGGGCCATGGTATAAGAGGGGCATTATTTACGGAATAAATGTGTGCTCGGCCGTTTAAAACCAAACGGTATTAGCCCAAGTCTGAAATTAGGCCGTTGTAAATGTCAGTCTTTAAGCAAATTCATCTTTCCATTCGATAATATTAGTCGGGGGCGGTCTATCACGGTGTTGATATCTAATTCGTCCACTTGATCCCACAAATTAGAGCTGAATCATACGCGTCAACGTTATGAATTATGTTTATTTATGAATTTTGTTTATTTATAACTGTTGGGCGACTGACTATCAATATAGAGTGCCGAATTGTGACGTCATTTTGAATCAGGAAGTAGTTCTTTTTACACGCATAAAATGCAAGCGTGACGTATTCACTTTTGTTACTCTATAACCCATTACGGGATTGCTGATTGATTCCCTTGGAAAAGAAGTTGCTCTCCCGACACACATAAGAAGTTAGTGCGACCTAGTGTGCTGGTCTAATTGTTGGGGTCAAGATCAGCCTTTACACAAACTGTTTAAAAATTAATTAAGAGTATTGAAAGTGCGTATCTATTCCTATTCACCTTTTCAACACACTTCTTGCCTTGTTATGGTGTGTGTCTCCTGTGCGCTGGTGCTCTATCAACCGCTTAAGACCGGCCACATGACGGCCTTTTGACACGTACAAATAGCTAAACAGTCCTAGGTATTTTCGAAGGATAATTAACAATGTCATACGTGTACTTGTTTTCCTTTTAATGTACAGAATTTTGCCAAGCAATTAATGCACATTCCTCTCTGATATAATAAAACCGAGTCACTCTACAGTGTCAAACGCATGGAGGACGAAAAGTGGCCATCTCATGTTCTGCTAGCAGAAGGGCAGATTTTTTGTTTTTGTAACATGCAATTCGACTTTTCTACTTTTCTGACACCTTAAAAAGCAGAACAAACATTGTATGGTTATACATATTTATATTTTTCTGCTTCTGCTTCAAGAAAAGCAGATTTTACTTTTTCTTTGTTCGCTCGAAAAGTGACCGTCTGCTTTTCTCCTTTCGACCAGGCAGAAGTAAGGATTGGACGTTTTGACAACAACCGTGAATTCTACTTTTCTGTTTTTTTTTTAAATAACGGAGAAGCAAATTTTTCATGGGAGGGCCAAAAAGTGGTCATCTTCTTTTTTGCCTTCCAAGGGTCATTAACGGAGTCATAAACCTCGGGTTGGTTATGACCAATTCCTTTCTACCCACCCTATCTTTTGTAATGAAAGGTTAACATGTTTTCCATGGCCCAAGCAAGCTTGTTTGTCTATTGGATGGTAGCTGTAAATCTATATTTCCTTTGAGATGTTGTTTTCTCTGCCTCACAGGGACACTGATACTGCCGTATGGGATTGGTCCCCAGAAAGCATGGTTAAGTATCAGTTTCTACATCTTCACTCCTCCTGAACGGAAATGGTCGTAACCTACAGGTTCATCACCCCATTCACTTCCCATTCGGGACAGAAAAGCAGATGGCCCCTTTTTTGGCCAACTGTGTAAAATCTGCTTCTCCGGTATCACAAAAGCAGAAAAGTTGAATTCACGGTTGTCGTCAAAACATCCTATCCACCTTCCTGCTTGTTTGACGGGTAAAAAGCAGATGGCCACTTTTCGGCCGCCAGGAAAAAGAGGAAAAGTATAAGTACTTCTGTAGTAAAGTGGAAATACATTACAGTAAATGTTCATGCTGCTTTTGAGGTAGCAGAAAAGAAGAAAGGTTGAAAATTACATGCTACAAAGATGTAAAATCTGCTTTTCTACTATTCTGATAGCAGAAAACTAGATGACCACTTTTCGTCCTCCATAGTCAAACGGCCTTTGATGATAGTGCCCGAAAAAGGAAGGATAAAAGTGCTACATGTTCAAGACTCAATGGTGTGGACTTTTAGGATATCGATGTTAAAACACATTTAAAATAGGTAAAATAAGGGTTATAGAAACCAGATATTACTTCTGGTACCGATGGAAAACGAAGGTATCTCTGTTACACCATCTTCCCAAGTAGCACAACGTTCCCTTCATGTAGTAACATGAAAATGGTAGACACCATCAGATTAACAGAGCAACCTAGGCTAGGGATTTATATGTTAATTAATATAAGCATGACACTTTTTGTAACACGTATACAGGTCTTACGAAAATCCACCCTTCCGAATTTGTATCTCAAATGTTTTGATAAAATAAAATGAATTATGAGTTTGCACTGATAATCTTACTGTGGTAGTCTGCCCTGTTCGCAATAGTGATCGTCGTCAAGCAATAAGTCGCCTCGAGGTCCACTTTCCACCACTGGTATCCGGAGCACTCTGATGTGTATCATGAAGTTGAAAAAGTGTGCATCAATATTGTACGATTATTATTTCCAATACACAAATTGCCAGTGTCCACACTTCTAATTCTGATTGCTCTGAGTTTTACAGGCCGTATATGCAAAACTGGACCGGGCGTATTGTACTCGTTGATTCAGTTCAGCACTTTTTGTAATGGCCGTGGCATTGTAGGCCCTGAAACACATTTTCGTCCTTTTTGTTGTCCGTAGATAGCATGCAAGTTTTTATTTTGGGGAGCCAAGTACAAACTGCTTGCATCAAGACGGGGAAATTCATGGCAAAATGTCTGAGTAATGTGCGAGTTAAGTTGCGTACTTTAATTTAAAAAAAATGATTGTACGGCCTTTGCAGTAACATTTTCCAGACCGAGAAATCTTGAAAGCAGTTTACAAAAAGTTATTTTTTAAAAATTACATAATAGGTCCAGAAAGTCATTAGTACTTTGCGCTTCGCGTTCCATCTCCTCCAGTTTTATGCAATCCACTATTTTTCTTGTCATGACCACGGCTTCGATGTGCGACATAGGACGTCACATTGATCAGCTGTGGAAGTCATGCCTTGTCCAACTAGAGTTACTGCGCTATGGTTTTGCATATAGCAACACTGTGTTTAGCGTCCGCCTTCATAAACAAAGATGCACAATTTGGACATGACATGAAATCGAATATCGGGATGAAAGAGCTTCGGACGGTGACATTATGAGTCGTGCTTCGAGCCAAATGATTTCATACAGAGGATTTTTGTGGGAGAACCATTTGTTTGTGTTCATTTTCAGTTGATAAATACACACCTGTCGTTGACGTAAGGAACACAGTCTACTTTCAAGCTGCAGAAATACTTACCTGTGTGAGAAGTGGTGGTTCGATCTCCGTCCACCGCCAAACCTGGCTGCGCATCAGCATTGTTCTCGAAGGTTGTGCTCTGACTTGCTGGTTTGCCAACGATATTAAGGGCCAAGCCTAACATGAACGTTTACATGTTTGTTGTGTAAAATAACAACATTTCTGAGACGTGAAGTTAGATAGATTTCAATACTATTACTAATTCTAGTAATGGACCGTGTGTTGTACCAAGTGTGGTGCTGTTGAATATGACGTGTGGTTGTTACAGTTTATTGCTTTTTCACTTATCATCTTTTTCTCTAAAATAATGTTTTTGTACGCTTATGCAAGTTTGTGGTAATAAGCAGTGTGGTCAAAGCATAATGTTGTAATCAGTACAACCTTTTACACAATTACAGCCTGGTCATTGAAGCAAGGTCAAAAGTAAAAACCCACCTCAATGACAGAGTGTGCACTTTTTAAGCTATATTTGACATTTGAAAAATAAAAAAGTTAAAAATAAATTGTTCTATTTCCGGATTGTCGTCATAACATTTGAAAGACATTGCCGTATTTACCCCTGTGTAAAACGACGAAAGCTAACAAAATCACCAGTACACCAGGTTGAGATATCGTTGATGGCACCATGGCGTCTTTGGGTCGAAGAAGTGGCTGGTACATGTGTTAGAGTTCAAATCATGGAATCATTTGATCAAAAACGGTGTCTCAACGCCGCCATTTTCCCAGCTTAGTAACGTTCCATGTGAGACTAGCCTGTTCCCGTTGAAGAATTTCAGTACTGACTTCTGCCAAGCCCAAGGCCACTTTCTGTTCAACGAATGCATTTGTGTTGCGTGAATAGTCAGTATACACATGAATGACTAACAATACAGAAAATTCAAAGGCATAGGCATATTGAAATAGCCTGCGTTTTTCCTCTTGCATTTCCGCCTCGGGTATTTTCATACATGTCATCATTCGTGCACAGTTTTGTGTGTTTTAAGGAAATGTGTCAACGTAAGATAATCACGTAATGAAAACGAGTTATTGGCAGTTGAATAGGAACTCCATAATTTATCACTTTATGGGAAAGTGAAGTGAAAGAAACATGAAATGCATCTTAGCAAGCGCCTCCGATGATGTGAACGACTACAAGACGAGATTACCAATTAGGTAAAGATGGTACTGTGCGGAGGTTCTGCGGAAAGTCGGAGTCATGATCGAGTGTTTATTTCTGGGAAAAAATTGGCTAGGCTATATATTTCATTACTTACTCCAACAAGCATTGCGAAACTCAACAGTGAAAAAAAAGACCATAATAAAAGTTGAACAGAACTATTTCTGTTCATTCGTGAAACTGCATGTATACTTCACTGATGAATAAAAAAGAACGTTAAGTGAGCATGCGTTTCCCAAAACAAATAAAACAGTTTGTGTTTATAGGGAAATATGTGATGTCGAGTGCAACTCTTTATGATCAATCTCAGAAGAAAAAGACGGTGCTCTTCAAAAATGACACAAGGTGAGAGCGTTACCCACTTCAGTTCTTACTGGGTTGGTCATTAATATGGTCTGTGCTTATGAATTTAAATTGCGTCTGAAGTGCGTTATGTGCTTCAGTGGATTCATAAATTATCACGTTTGGCAACACCCATGATCTTATTTTTCAAGAGCCTTTTCCTTGATATTTCAAAACAATTATATATAACGGTTTGCCCGATTTCAAAACAATGTAGGCAGTCTTGGTGACGACAGATGAGATGAGCTTATCCCCCGAAATGGGAAAAATCACACAGCTTACCCGTTTGTGAAGCTCTGCTCTAATCAAGTCACTGACTTCCAGAGACCTCTTGGCTTTGACTACTACATTGCCAAAGTAAAATCCTGGCTGCATTGTCTTTTTCTTGAAAATCCATATGTTTTGCTTTGTCCTCTCTTGATCGTTTGTGATGGCAAGTGAGTCATCCATTCATTTTCGACTTTCATTATCGGACAAGAGAAATAACTGCAATCAGCGATCATTTCCTCGTCCAGTTTGTTCAAGGCCTTGTGTTTATTTCTAACATCAAGACTACTTATTCAGGATTGTTCTAAACTTGAGTTAGAATACAGGACATCAATGTCAGGAGATTAGTGTTCGAAGAAATTAGTTTTAACACCGTAGCAATCCTGAGCCACTTCTTGCTTGCTCCTTGTTCTGCTTCAAATTCTTCATTACAAATGTGCTTAATGATCATACTATGTGAATTGATGTTTTCATTTGGGAGACATCGTGTGCCATGCATGTATATCTCTCCATGGCATTAGCTTAGCTTTTAACCATCATCTCAGGAATGGGTTGTTGGATGCCTTGGAGTAATCTTCCACCGGATGATACCTGTAATCCAGTTGGACTCCTGCCTCTTGTCTTTCATCAGTGTCTCGGTCGACACTCCTTTCTGCAATGGGGAGCTTTGTCTTCCACCTTCTGCTGGGCGTGTTAGCTTGGCCATGACAATCATTCCCTACGAATCATTTACGCATTACTTTCTTACGTGACAAAATATTGTATGTGATATGACGCACGTCATAAGTTGTGAATTTATTCAGCCCCCCGTTTTGCAGAGTATCGAGTATCCGTTAAATTTAAGTCCAGACACACTCGCTGCAGGTTAGTTATGTGCAAGGTCTAGGGACTTTTGACAGGGCGTCCAACAATGAGATCACGCAGCCATCACTTTCCCCAAAATGAGTGATATTTATTGATTCTATGCCAATCGTGTGATTTTTGTAGCAGAATAAATATTCGAAATACTGATGTGACTTTCTTAATGTTTAGCATTTATAAAAAAGTCACCATCAATATGATTGTTATGAATACAGATATCNTGAAGCAATTCTGGCCCCGCCTGACGCCTAAATTTTACATTTTATGAGACGAGGCTTCATTGACTTCAGACGTCTGAGCCACGATACGTTTCCTATAATAGGATAAAACAGGTTTTATAGGGATAAGGAAATATGTAACGTCGAGTACAATTCCTAATGATGAAGTTCAGACTGAGAGAATGGTCCACTCCAAAAATGACCCAACAATGTCAAGCTGAGCGAGGGGATTCCTCTCTTCAGCCCATTCAGCCAATCTCTCATTGCTTATTAGATTTATTAGCACCTGAAGCGCATTGTACGTATCAGTGGATTCAGAAACATAGCAGTTGGCAACACTCATGATCTTAGTCTTCATATGAGCCGTTCCCTGGATTAAACTGATTCCGTATTCTTTATTCAAAGTTTGCAGTGCTGGGAACGACCTATGGGAAAGCGCTCTTCCTGAAAATTCAAATTTCATATAGCATAGTCGTTTTTTGAAATTGTACAATCCCCAAAACGAATTAATTTAGGTCGCCTCAAAGTAAAATCCTGGCTGCATTGTCTTCTTCTTGCAAATCCATATGTTTTGCTTTGTCCTCTCTTGATCGTTTGTGTTGGCAAGTGAGTCATTCTTTCATTTTCGACTCTCATTATCGGACAAGAGAAATAACTGCGATCCGCGATCATTTCCTCATCCAGTTTGTTCAAGGCCTTGTGTTTATTCCTAACATCAAGACTACTTATTCAGGATTGTTCTAAACTTGAGTTAGAATACAGGACATCAATGTCACAGGATAAGTGTTCGAAGAAATTAGTTTTAGCACCGTAGCAATCCTGAGCCACTTTCTGCTTGCTCCTTGCTCTGCTTCAAATTCTTCATTACAAATGTGCTTAATGATCATACTATGTGAATTGATGTTTTCATTTGGGAGACATCGTGTGCCATGCATGTATATCTCTCCATGGCATTAGCTTAGCTTTTAACCATGATCTCAGGAATGGGTTGTTGGATGCCTTGGAGTAATCTTCCACTGGATGATACCTGTAATCCAGTTGGACTCCTGCCTCCTGTCTTTCATCAGTGTCTCGGTCGACACTCCTTTCTGCAATGGGGGGCTTTGTCTTCCACCTTCTGCTGGGCGTGTTAGCTTGGCCATGACAATCATTCCCTACGAATCATTTACGCATTACTTTCTTACGTGACAAAATATTGTATGTGATATGACGCACGTCATAAGTTGTGAATTTATTCAGCCCCCCCGTTTTGCAGAGTATCGAGTATCCGTTAAATTTAAGTCCAGGCACACTCGCTGCAGGTTAATGTTGCGTGTAGTTATGTGTCAAGGTCTAGGGACTTCTGACAGGGCGTCCAACAATGAGATCACGCAGCCATCACTTTCCCCAAAATGAGTGATATTTATTGATTCTTTGCCAATGGTGTGATGTTTGTAGCAGAATAAATATTCGAAATACTGATGTGACTTTTTTAATGTTTAACATTCATAAAAAGTCACCATGAATATGATTGTTATGAATATAGATATT